GCACTGCATCATGGGATTGGCATTTTCCGAGGCCTTCACCTCCTCCTCCTCCTCCTCCTCCTCCTTCTCCTCCTACACCCCTCCCAACTCACCCCTCCCTGCTTGGTGCTGTTTCAAGCCATCTATTTACGCAATACAGACGTACATTTGCACTGCGAATTTAGGCGCATAATTGAAGGTGATGGATCACTGGCAACCATTGCCAGTTATGGCAGGCTTAGTCCATCAACACTACTTGAACTCATCAAAGCATGCGAAATACACCCCTCCTCCCTTCCTCCCACCCCCTCCACATTTTGCTATCGGATGAGTAGGCGAATTCACATTGCAGCGTAAGTTACTCTGCGCATTTAAGTAACTCGGGTGCGCAATTCTGCCTTTCTCATCTCAAGGCAATGGTATGCTAAACGTTGCCCGACAGGCATACGCAGCACCATTCCCAACACAAAGACGGAAGCATCACAAGAAGTGAGGAAATGATCACACACACACACAAAGGCAAGTGTAACGTGCTGACTCCTCTTCTCTTCCTACGTTTTCTACTTTCGCATGCTGCGGAGCACAAACTTTCTGATGGATTCGCTGTAGTGAATCGCATTCTTGACATGTCAAGGACAATTATAGAATTGGTAAATGCGCAGTCATGCCTTCCAAACAATCGTGAATGTGGTACGTAGTGAGCCACGCTATTCATAGCACACTTGAGTGAAGCGGTTTCGTGCATTGAGGAGTGTGTCCGTGAGAGGCAAGTTATGGGTTACTTATTTACGGTGTGGATGAAGTGCTCACTCAAGTTGGAACACAGTACCTCATTGCTTTTTAAGTCTTGATCCTGCTTCCTCAACGTGTAGAGGACGAAGGGGCGGAGAGTTGACAGGAGTGGAGAGGTGAAAAGTTCGCAATAGCACCACTTACAGTTTGTTCTCTTCCTCAATCTCCTCCACCCGCCTTGCTCGAGGCGTTTTCCAGTTGTCGTCTTGTCGCGTCAGATGGTCGCGTACGTCGACCTCTGTGGACTCACAACCAGTATGTGTGACGACAGGAGGTTTGGACCCGCCTTTAAATCGTTGTTTCTCAGATTTCTGGGGCATGGATGGCCCTCTCAATTTGTCGGTACCCTTCATGAGCTGCATAGTTAAAACCTTTGACCGAGGAGTGGGAGTAGGTGGGACGTTTTTATGGCTTTCGCACACTTTGTAGCCGATAGGCTGAATAGCAAAATAAAAATAGGCTTGCTCCAAAAATGCATTTACACACCACCACTGCTACCCTTTTCCCAACAGTGCACAACAATTGTGAGAATGAAATATTTATCAGCTTACTAATGAATTTTAATTGTTAGGCAATGAACAAAAGCAAATGAACAGTTAATGACACATTAAGCTTTGCCATCAATTGTTTCTGCATGAACAAAAAAAAAACAGAAATCTTGACAATACAAAGTTTCTGTCATTTCTAACATTTTCTCATAGTGTAGCTTTCATCGATGAAAACGTGATTGATCCACTTGCTGATTTACTCAAGAAACACATTGCTAACACAGAAAGCATTGCCGGAAACCCTTAACCTATATCATTTCACCTGCAATTGTGTGACAACAGAAGGCTTTAAAGTAGACTGACATGTCAGTAAGCTTCCAGACATCTTTAACAATGCACACTGAAGGGAATTGGAGTTATGCATTGAGCTTTTGCCCTCCCCTAACGGTAGTGATGAGGCCAAGAGATGCGTTCTAATTAACTAACTAACTAACTTCAGATATTCATATTTTTAAAAGCGAAAACGCTTATTTGATTGCCATTAATCGAATTGGACAAAAGGTGCCCCCTTGTTTAAAACACATAAACATAACTGCTTCAAGACTAGTCCTCTTTCCTTTTAAAAAAACCCTAACTCTAAAGCCTGATTAACTCATGGTCTAATCCATAATGAAATTAGGCACAAAAGGCCGTCTTTTGTCAGACACGAAGTACAAAAGAGTTATTCCGTGTTTTGCATTTGGGTACTTGGAAAATTCTCTGCTTCTGAAAAACAATAATGTTGAGTTAATAGCATTACTAATTTTTTTCCTAAATCAAAGGCTTCTACACACCACTTAGCTGCAGACATTCCTCATGGCTAAAATCCTCAATACGTGCAATCAACTGACTTAAACGGTTCGAAAGGAGAATTTAAGTGTTGTAAATAAGTTGATGCACAGTACAACATTTCAACTAAAGCATTAACCGATGTTGGTCCTCCTTTTACCAGTCATGATAGAAATTTTATAGGTGATGATGATGATGATGATGATGACGGTGTTTCAACTTCCCTTTGTTGCATAACATTTCATTCTATAGTACGACCATCACCTTCACTTATATAATTTCCTCAAGTAAAACAATTTTAAATAAGGATTAATTTCATCCGTAAGTTGATACAACAATTGATAATGTGAAAAAATAGTCTCATATATCCTCTTTGAAGCATTAAATTTCAACCTTGGCATTCACTACTAGCCTGTGCTACGCAGATTGGCCTCCCGTTATGATTTCACTTTTATTTATGTATTTTTTTTGCAAATAAATGATCACTGAAGTTGTCTTTTGTTGCAAAAGCACTGTCCACACACTCACAACATGAATGTGGAATGTTATGTTACCACAAAGTAATTCTGTTTAAGGGCACTAAGCACTGTGATCTTTTAAAATAGGAGCCAATTGGTACTTTTAAAGAACAAAGTTTAAAGTAGTAATAGTATATAGTAGTAGAGTTTAAAATGACTATTATACTACAATTTTCCCGTCGACAAGTCTCAATTAGCCACAATTTCCAACAGGGAAACAAATACAAAGCAAACTGATCCTTCAATTTCTTACTTTACGTTAATTACTCATTTCACCAAATGGAAGCATTAAATGAAAAAAAGGTATAAATTTAGTGGGTACAAAGGATGGAATTAAAGAGGTGACACAATTTTTTTACTCTCCTTCCCTTTTACCCTAAAATGCAACATTCCTCACAGATTAGCTAGGCTCGAGATGAGAATTTGTATTATCTTGGAAAAAAAAGTGCTCAATTAATAATAAAATTTCCTCGTCAGATAGAATGATCTCAAGTGGGATTGGCTTTAGAAAAATGAACAACTAGGCACCTTTAACACTTCAACCAAACAATCAGTAATGCAAATAGTACATTTGCTATAATTCGAAAGAATTTGACTAATTTAGTCTAACATATGCATTTATGTTGCAAAGATAAAAAGAATGTGAGGAGAATTTTGATGGACCTTTCTTTGGTTTCCCAGCCTCCTCTCTCTTCCCCACTCATATTCATTAGAAGTGACCAATTTTGTTGTATGGTTGAGAGGAGAAGCGGTTGAAGACAAAATTGTTTGATCTACTTGTTTACCTCAACTCCTAATTCTCACATGCTACAAATAAATAGATAGTAAAACTCACATTCCCGAAATAAAGAATTAAGCAAAACACTTAACCTCTGCATAACTACTAAATTAGTTTACAGTACTGTCTCAGTACAATTCAACTATCCAAAATTAAAAAAAACACGCAAAAATACAAAAAAACTAAAAACATTCATTTTCATTCAAACCTTTTGTGTCATCAACATTGCTGCGCAGTTAGAAATGATCGGACCAGTAGGAGTAGTAAAAAAAAAATGTGTATAAAGTTTCCTCCATTGACCAGACGCGTAGTATGACCGATTGATGGTCGTAGTTTTAAGGTGAAATTTTGTTTTTATGATTCACATAATTTGTTGTGTTAGAGTAAGGATTGAAAAAAAAATCGTACATTAACTTATTTAGCTTAAAAGTAGTAGTCCATACTGACTTCGCCCTCTCCTTTAAGGCTCCTACGTCTCTCAACACAGCATGCATAACTTGATTTTCGGTGTATGGCTTGACTTCCTGAATTGCACCTCCTAAAATTCGTAAGGATATGGAGCCGATGGCCTCTGGGGTCATGACTTGGCCTTCATTAATGTAAAATGGTGCCCTTCAGTGGCCAATCCGATTAGTCAGTAATGCGCAACAGCTGTTTAAATGTGTCTTGTAGGTAGAAGGCGGGAATTCAGTTTGAACATCATAGTGATTGTGGAAATAAATTCCTCGATTGTGGACTAAGAATAATCATTTTCCCCTTCTGTTTTTTGCATTACCTTTCAAGTTCTCACTTTACAAAGAGCTTATAAAAATGGAAACGAGAGTAGCAAAGGATTTATAGGATCGTTTATAACTAAATAGAACAAGAGAAGCTAGTTAGCAAAGAATTAGACAGAACAGCCAACATTATCACACCGTCGATGAAAAAAAACCTTTAAAAATGATCACAAGTCTCTACTTTCCTTAAAATTTATCACTACATCACTTTGCAATTTACAACAATTCTTACCTGCACTTGTTTGAGAGCAGACTGTGCTTGTAGACTATCTAAAAGGAATTGTGTAAAGCTAAGGACGAAGCAAACCTCCTGAAGATATGACAAGGGAATTGATTTAAGAGTAAACAGGTCCGGATTTTAAAAATAGATGAGTGTACTTTTGATGCATTGTCGTTGTTTACTAATGCACCTATTGAGACAACTGCAAACAAAATAATTACAAATAACATCAAAGTAGCTTACAGTGGAATAAGTTAAATTCCAAAGAGCTCACAATTTGGACTTTTTTGTATTGCAACGGAATTTCGATTTGAATTGGTGAAGTTCTTAAGGTTTACGCTTTCTAATTGTCTTTTCTTCGAAGGAGTAGAGGTGGTGATCCGACCTTTAGACGTTTTATTTAGCTCTGCCTGATTGACGGTAAATGACGCATCAGAATTTGCTAACAACCCTCGTTGAGAATCCACAGTGAATGAAATGGAGAGTTTGGAGATTGGGGTGTGTCGAAGTCCTCCTCTACCACTGCAACTGCCAGCCTTTCTAACACCACCTGACTGCTGCATCGGAGGTAGACAGACATCGCGTCGAGTGCAGCTCCCAAAACCAAAGGGGCAATAGCGCGGATCGGAGGGATCCAGCTCAGAAGCGAATCCTCGAGATGTAACTTTGGGACTTGAATGCCTAAGAGAGCGCGAACGATGTGATTGATCACCTGCTTCTGTGATTGCTTTAGCGTCTGTGATGCGTCGAATGAGGTATGCCCTTCTTTCCTGTTAAGAAATCATCAAGTGAAAAGAAACACACAAGACCAGTTGGTGCAATCAGCTAAACGACTTTCAAGATGAAAGTGGCTTAAGATTGTATGCATAACCATAAGGGCAGATATCTTAACGTTACCACGATTCTAGAAACTAAATATTCTTAGTCTCTCCAACATGGTGTCCTTTGTAGGCATTTTAAGACATTTTTGTTAATATAATAATAGGAAAAAATTGATTTTGAATTAACACAAATCAATAATTGTCAGCACGAGATGCAAACATTTGCTGATCTTACAGTCTGTGCAATTAAACAATTAATGATAACAACTACAGGGAGGCTAAAGTCAAGATTTAGTTTTGTGACTGGTGTTTACGACAAAGCCACAACTACAGGCCTATTTAGTTCCATCCTCAAATATTTATCAATAAGTAAAGCATACATGAAGGTGATTTCATTAGTGAGGGCAAAGCACGGTTACTAAATTATCAAACAAATTTTTAAAAAATGAACATCAGAAAGAGCCTTATCTCACTTGTAAATTTCATGCCAAAAAAAATGCACTGATGGACAATTGGCAGTCCTTCTAATGTAGAGAAAATAAATGATAGAATGCCTTCAACGTGAATAAACAATTGACCTCTTCAAGGAGTTTTCGACGTGCAAAGACCTTGGCATGTCGCTCCTCTTCACGGTTGCGCAGCTCCAAACTGCGTGCTGCACGCAGGCTGTATGCACGTTGACGAGCGGCCTCGAGAGCCGCCTCGGAGGCCTCAAGATTGACACGACGCGCACGTCTGCGCTCAACCTCGAGCGCCTCTGCTCGAGCCCGTCGCTCTGCCACAGTATGAGCAACAAGGCTGTTGTTACTGCCGATCTTTCGACAACTGTCCGTATTCTTGTGCGTTGGGATAGCTAATAAGTAGAAAAATATAAGGCAAAACTGTAAACTAAAATAAAAGTGGAGACAAAATAAAGCGACAATTACACTTCTGTTGGGAACGAGCGGCAGTGTTGAGAGAAGGGGGTAGGAGAGAACTGCTATTTCGACAGAGAGTGAATGAGGAGTGCCGCTTAATTTGAGCAGGTGTCGGGGCAGTGGAGCGGGCGTGCGTAGTGATGTCGGGGACGTCTCGTTGTGCGCTGCTCGAAACCGCTGACTTCCCAGAAGACTCGATTGATGAATGTGAGCCAGCATCACTTTCTCGTCTACCAATACAAAACGTAATAATTCTTTAGTAATCATAACAATCTCTACAATTTCATAAAAACTCGTAAATCATACGTAACTTCTTACCAACTCATCTATGAGCGATCTGTATACCAAGCTATATGCCATCAAACTAATTACCTGTTCTAAAAAGGCATTATCACTTGCTAAAGTGCTTCGCTCAACCAAGATCACTATAAGAATAACACATATCGAAGGCATAGAAGATGAG